ATGCGCAAGAGATTTGTAGCACTCTGTTTCTCTCTCTTCAGTTTTGTCGCATCTCACATTCTCATAATGGGCCGTATGAATAAAAAGAGTTTACTTTACTTTCCCGTGCTTTTCTTACGGGAAAAGTAAAGTAAACGCTTTTATTCATACGACCTAATGTCTGTGTATCGCACTGTTTTGTAAGCACAGCACATTTCCGGATGTATACGTTTCATGAGAACGAGTATCATGCGATGTCGCGTGAGGCGAAGCTCATGCGCTTTTCTCAATGAGACGTCGCTAAGCGACGTTTCAATGCGACATCGAAATAACAAACTCAACTGGAAGACCAACTCGTGTTCTTGATGTGGGAAAAGTGTTGTTTTGTTTTGAAAACGATGGAAAGTGACCTAGCTGCTACACTCTTATCGAATATGGAGAAGAGGTGTCAGATGGCTATGACCAACAATGTTTTTCTAGCGACAATTCTCGTTGATTAAAGGATTAACTTGAAAAATAGCCCATTCATTAGGCCGTTCGCAATGCTGTTGTATTTTATAAGGACTGTTTCAATTTGAAACTAGAACAGAAACGCACCTCTCGCAATGCTGAGTTGCAGTTTCATGATTCGAGCACTATTTTGCACCAGATTTGCAACTGCTCGACTATTCTGTTTTATTTCTGAGCGAGTTTGAAACACGATTGGAACTCTGTTTCAAATTTCTTTGGATGTGTTAGAGATGTTTCGAGAGCTTCACAAATAAAAACGGAGAATTTCATAGAGAACAGTAAAGTTTATGGAACTTGATGATTACAAACATCTTTTAGAACTGTGCGTTGCGCTGATCGTGTTGCAGTTTTATTTTTGACAGTTTCAAATTATAGAATTGACGAGTAGTTTAAAACAATTTTGAAACTCAGCATTGCGAACGGCCTTACGAACGAAGGAAGAGATGTGGCTTTGGTAAGTGAAATGTACATTCAAGTTGTGGTTTATTTGCTCGTTAATATGCTTTTTTTCAATTTCATCGAGGGTCAACGGTACTAACACCAGGACTTTTTGGAAATCTGTTGTCGCAAATTGAAATTCAGCATCATGGTGGCTGGTATGAACTATCCTGTGAGCACTAACACATCTGAAGAATTCAGATGCTGCCGTAGTAAGTTTTGTTGATTGACAGGTATTCAATACAATTCCTGAAGCAATAAGCTTAGCAACAATCCGTAATACAGATATGACACAACTTTTTCCTAAATTTATTACATTAACCTTAATCCAGCCTTTCGTACCTACGTACACTATGGTGCAAAGTTGATCGGACAAAGGTCGTTTTCATACAAACTAGCCAAGTTTAACATGTTGTAAATGTGTTCTGTTATGGTCAATTGAGCTGAAATGTTGACGCAAAACTACAAATATGTTGAATTTCACGTGTAAGAAATACCAAATTTTTTGAAGCACCTGCTGGAAGGTGACAATAAAATTAAAATTTGTGCATAGCTGATCGGACAAAGGTCAATGGAAAAGCAAGTTTTTTGTCAAAATTTCAGCTCAATTGATCATAACAGAACAAATTTACAACATGTTAAACTTGGTTAATTTTTAAGTGTAGACTTGTGTGTATGTAATGAGAAGTCACCACCAACGTTTTTGCAGCAAAGTACACTTCTGCGTTGAAAATAATCCCTTAAAATAATGTTCACTCAAGCCAGACAAAATAAAAATATTAATCTCCAGAGTTCTATCATTACTAGCGTGTTGATATGAGCGGTCAAAGCAGACCGAACTGTGACATTTTTTTTTTGATGTCAAGAAAATTCGAATTTAAAGTTGGCTGTTCAAAATTGTGTCTTATGTAATGGGACAAATCATTTGACCGTTTTTTCTTGCTTCTCTAATTTTTCAAATCTGGCTGAAAAAGTGAATTGTAGATGAGGGAATTTTTGATATTATGATATTATTAACTCATTTTTTGTTTTTATTTTGCTACTTAGTCCCTTCTAATTTAACGCCGATTATATGATCTTGTATTGTAAAATGTAGAGCTGTTTTACATTCAAAATCATCCATTTATATTTTTACTGGTCTGAGTAAAAGTGCTCTGAGGGATTTTTTTTTAGCGCGGAAATCTAATTTGATGCAAATGCGCAATAACTTGTTTATTTTTCCACCAAATGGGCTGAAAGCTTCAGAGGCTTCCAAAAAATGTATTTTAGAAGATTTCCGCATAAGGACTTGTTGAAGGACCCATAGTTCCAGAGATATTCCGATATTATTTGGGGTGCTAACATGCTAACGGTATCCCAACTACCGTAAGGTTGCCATCCGCCGCTCACGTAGTCTTCCTTTACCTTCCTTTAGCATCCTTTAGACAAGCGATTGCGTCTTTCTAGTAGCATGAGTGGTGATCTTACGGTGATTCCAGTATATCTCTGGAATCATGTGTTGAGCCTCCTCGAATCTATACTAGAAGATATTTCTGGAACCATCTAAAAACTTCACCCCATTTCAAAAGCCACATGTGAAAAGGGCACACAAGTCTTCTATGAACAAACCTGTTGGTACTGCTACGAGCCATCCGCAGTCCCCTTGAACTCGTAACGGACGGACGAGCGAGGAATCTGGTAGCCCTACCGCTGCTTGTCATCGCTACTGCCGTCAGCGCAACTGTCATTCGTTGAAGATTACATGAAATCAAAAGGTGACGATATTTTGTGAAACGTGAATCTCAATTGCATTGTATTCGATAAAACTTTTATATTTTCTTGCTTAAAACTATTAAAATTTGCTTAAACACTAAACGTAAGTTAAATATAGATATTCCTACTTAAAATCTACTTAAAATAATAAATATTTGCAGCTTAAAGCGAGTGAAATCTACGCTAAAAAGGAGTGTTTTTTATTCTAACCTTAGTTGCATCGGCAACATTCTTTAAGGTTTACGGAATATAGTGAATTTCGGTGGTTTTCGAACGATCCGGCCAAGATGCCGAAGACGAAGGCTTCCGCTCCAGCAGTGCGATGTGGCCTGTGTGAAGATCCGGAGGACGAAAGTATGGTCGCATGCGATTTATGCGATTTGTGGTATCACTACAAGTGTGTACATGTAGGAGATTCAGTAGCGGATCGTTCTTGGACCTGTCCAGGTTGCAGTAAAGAACTGCTTGCGGCCAGTACACCGGTTGGTCGGCAAAAGAATTCCGTTTCCTCACGTCGTTCGTCGATCACGGTAAGCACCCGTGCATCAGCCCGTGCAGCAAGAGCCGCTTTGGAATTGCAGCAGTTGGAGGATCGGAAGCGATTGGAGTTGCAGCGGGTTCTTGAGGAGGAAGAGCGTCGAAAGCAAGAGGCGGAATTGGAGAAAGCCCGCATCGAGCAGGAGAAGCTGCAACGTGAGATGGAGGCGGAACTCGAACGCCGTCGTTTGGACGAAGAACGTCATCAGCAAGAACAAGAAAGGCTGCAGCGCAAAAGGGAGGCAGAACTGGAGCGAAAGCGGCTGGAAAACGAACGTCGGCAGCAGGAGCAGGAGCAAGCACTAGCGAAGAAGAAACTGGACGATGAGAAATCCCGTTCTGAATTGCTCCGGAAGCTGGAGGAGAAGTATCTCGCCGAAAAGTATCGGATTTTGAACGCCCAACTGGAAGGATCAGTCGGTAGATGTAGCTCAATGAGCAGCATTAGTTTCGATCAATCGTCTGATGGAGCAAAAGCCCTTCCAGATCACCAGCAGAGGAACCAAGAAGATCGTCGAAAAATCGATCGTGCGCAGAATGCCAAAAACGCAGAACGGGAATGCCTGTATAGGATGCGGATTGAAGAGGAGAAACGCCGTGAAGAGTTCCGGGAGAAGTTGGAGCAGATGGGTTTTGCTGAAAAACACAAAACATTGTACGCACCTCGCGCGCAAAGGGTAAAAGACTGGGTGGACAACCTCGAAAAGGAAAACTCCAACCCACCGGAGGTACTTCCAGTTCCCCTACCGATGGGAAAATCCGGTAAGGAACGGTACACCGGGACGAAACCAAAAGCGAGCAACAAAGTGAATGAAGATCCTGTTCCTGACAGAACCTCAAAGGACCGAGGACAGCGTCCGCATATCCGGGATGACGGGCCGGGGCCCTCTGACCATCGTGACCAGAGACAGCCTGATATCCCACGCAACAGGCCACCGGGTCTACCCAGGATTCCCGAAGAAAATCATCCAAATCCAGGTTCGAATGCCCCTAGGGAAGGAACACGCCCAGACCAATTACGGGCACCTATGCAACCCAATCGTGGAGCATTCGGCCTGACGAACTCACAACTGGCAGCTCGCCAGGTTTTGCCAAAGGATTTGCCCAGCTTCTCCGGAAACGCGGAGGACTGGCCAGTTTTTATTAGCAACTATGAAAACTCTACTGCAGAATGCGGGTATTCCAACGCAGAAAATCTTATCCGCCTACAGCGCTGCTTGAAAGGCGATGCACTAGAAGCAGTACGGAGTCGGCTTCTACTTCCTGCTGCGGTCCCGCGTGTAATTGACACCCTGCGAATGCTCTTTGGCAGGCCAGAGGTGCTGATCAACTCGCTATTGGCCAAGATCCGAAATACGCAATCCCCGAAGGAAGGAAGGTTAGACACACTTATCGCTTATGGGATGGCGGTGCAGAACTATTGCGATCACCTAGTTGCAGCGAATCTTGAAGCACATTTGGGCAATCCATCGTTGCTGCATGAGCTTGTCGAGAAGCTTCCGTCGGAGATCAAGCTCAAGTGGGTGGACTTCAAGGATCCTGTACCGGTAGTTAGTCTGGACACCTTCGGGCAGTTTATGGCGGATATAGTACGGAAAGCAAGCGAGGTAACAACGTATCGACCAGCGACTTTGGCAAAGGCACCGAAAGATGAAACGAAGAAAAGCGGGAATGCGAAGGCTCGAGGATTCGTCAATCACCACAGCGATATTCGTGCGTCAGGTGATGACCGTTGAAGCAAACACCATCGGAAAAGGTATGTCCGATCTGCAGCAAAGTAGGCCATGGAGTGGATAGTTGCGGTAAGTTCAAAGCATTGAATTCTGATGAACGTTGGAAGATGGTGCGGCAGCACAATTTGTGCAGATCCTGTATGAGGAATCACCTTCCTTATCCCTGTCGACGACCCAAGAATTGTACGATCGACGGGTGTCGAATACGTCACCATCCCTTGCTCCACTCTTTCCCTTCACAGTCGAAATTAGCAGCTAGCTCACAGAATTTCCACTCCGTCAGTCAGACCGTAATATATCGCATTCTCCCTGTTACGGTGCATGGTGCTTCTGGTTTCATTAACACATTTGCGTTACTCGACGAGGCTTCCGAGGTAACGATGATCGAGAAGAGTTTGGCTGACGAACTGGGTCTCAAGGGTTCACCAGATCCATTGCACCTTCGCTGGACCGGAAATGTGTCCCGAGTAGAGGAACAGTCTTGCGTGGTGAAGCTGGAGATTTCCGGAAAGCAAAAGAAACGACGTTTCAACGTGGTCAACGCACGTACCGTAGAAGAGTTAGAACTTCCTGTTCAGTCGATCAACCCGGATGAACTAATCAATAACTTTCCGTACCTCAAAGGTTTGAATATTGATGGATACGATGAAGCTCGTCCGCAGCTACTAATCGGCCTGGAAAACCTCTACTTGTCCACTCCGCTGAAGATTCGTGAAGGAGCACGTGGTCAACCAATCGCCACTAAGACAAGATTAGGGTGGTGCGTCTACGGAGGAGCATCTACCAAACCAGACGATTTCCGAGGAGTTTTCCACGTCAGCCGTATGACTGAAGATCGTCAGTTGCATGACCTGGTAAAGCAGTACTTCCTGACGGACAGTCTCGGTGTCACTCCATTGACTACTGAGCTTGAATCGGCAGAAGACAAAAGGGCCAGACAAATTCTCGAATCAACAACTCGACGTGTACCAGGTGGATTCGAAACTGGCCTGCTTTGGAGATGTGATGAGGTCCACTTCCCCAACAGCTATCCTATGGCTGTAAGCAGACTGAAGAGTTTGGAGCGAAAGACTCAAAAGGTTCCAGAACTGGCTAAGCGAGTCCACGATCAGGTGGACGCCTATTTGGAAAAGGGCTACGCGCGTATTGCAACGGAGGATGATCTGTGTTCCGATGATCAAGATCGAATATGGTTCTTGCCGCTGGGAGTGGTAATTAATCCTAAGAAACCACAGAAGCTGCGGTTGATATGGGATGCTGCCGCTCAAGTCAAAGGTACATCGTTTAACTCAATGATGCTGAAGGGTCCCGATTTGCTGACGCCACTAACGAGTGTGCAGTATCGATTCCGGCAGAGACGCGTCGCGGTCACGGGGGATATACGAGAAATGTATCACCAGTTCAAGATCGCGTTGAGAGACCAGAAGTCGCAGATGTTCCTGCATAGAAAAGACTCATCCGAAGAGCCCGTCATTTACGTGATGAATGTGGGGATTTTTGGAGCAGCCTGTTCCCCATGCTCAGCACAATACATTAAAAATCTAAATGCGAAAGAGCATGCACTAGAGTTCCCGAACGCTGCTGAAGCTATCATCAATAGCCACTATGTGGACGATTTTCTGGACAGCGGAGATACCGTGGAGGAGGTCATTCGTTTGGCCGAGGAAGTCAGATACGTCCATAGCCAAGGGGGATTTGAAATTCGAAACTTCATGTCAAATTGCCGAGAAGTACTGGAAGGACTTGGAGAAAGAAATGCTGCGAAGGAGAAGATGTGGAATTCAGAGGAGTCTAACGTTGCAGAATCTGTCCTGGGTATCCGCTGGTTACCACAATCAGATGAACTGACCTTCTCCGCTTACATGCCTGGTACAGAGGAGGGTTTGTTAGACGGTTCAGTTCGTCCTACGAAGCGCCAGATCTTGAAGACGGTTATGAGTCTGTACGACCCACTTGGATTTCTCGCCACGTACGTGATTCAAGGGAAAATCATCATTCAAGACTTGTGGCGAGCCAACTGTGACTGGGATGACTTGATAGATGACGGAATTTTCAGAGATTGGAAGCGTTGGATAAACTTGTTGCCAAAGCTGAACGATGTCCGTATTCCAAGGTCGTATTTTGGAGACGCTGTTCCAGAAGACTGCCAGCCACTGCAACTTCACACGTTCGTCGACGGAAGCAGCACTGCATACGCCTGCGTAGTGTATATTTGCTTTATCTATGCTGGTCAGCCGCATTGTGCGCTGATAGGAGCGAAAGCCAAGGTCGCTCCAATCAAAACACTATCAATCCCAAGGCTCGAATTGCAAGCTGCCATCCTGGGAACCCGGCTAGCACAGTCGATTTTGGAGAATCATCAGCTTCCTATTCATCAACGGTTCTACTGGACCGATTCATCGACGGTCCTTCATTGGATCAACTCCGATTCCCGCAGGTATCGACCGTACGTTGCTTGCAGAATTGGAGAGATTTTGACATCGACCAACCCAAGCGAATGGAAGAAAGTACCAACGATGCAGAATGTAGCGGATAAGGCAACGAAGTGGGGCAACGGGCCGTGCTTTGATCCTGAAGATCCATGGTATCGAGGACCACAGTTCCTATGGGGTCCAGAGGAGTTTTGGCCAGAACAAAATTGGAAAGGAACAGATGCAGCAGAAGAACTTCGCCCGGTACTCGTTAACCGACGGGTGAAAATAGAGCCTGTGATCGATGTGAAACGTTTTTCGAGATGGGAAAAGCTGCAGCGAACGGTAGCGTACGTTCTCAAATTCGGAGGAGTGATGAGCGAAGATACGTCGTTGGAAACACCGATAAATTCAGAACTTCTGTGCAAAGCGGAAGTGAAGCTGTGGAAGATGGTTCAGCTGGAGACGTTTCCTGAGGAGTTAGCTGTGTTGCAGAGTCGACATTCTACAAAGCCTTCGGGGGCGGTGCCGGTATCGAGCCCGTTGTATAAATTGTCAGCTTTCATCGATGAAGAGGGATTGGTGCGAATGGATGGTCGTATCGGCGCCGCCCCCAACCTGCCGATCGAAGCTAAGTATCCCGTTATACTAGCTCCGAACCATCCAGTAACCTTTCTCTTCGTAGATTTCTACCACCGTCGATGTCACCACCGTAACCAGGAGACGGTAGTCAATGAGCTTCGTCAACTGGTCTACATTCCAGGTCTACGAAACCTGGTCCGCAAAGTCGCCGCTAGATGTCAGATGTGCAAGGTTTACAACGCATCGCTGGGTTCGCCGAAGATGGGCCCACTACCGCGGGCCAGGCTGGAAGCATTTCTTCGTCCGTTCACCTACACCGGGCTGGACTACTTCGGGCCAGTGACAGTCAAAGTTGGTCGCAAACACGCTAAGAGATGGGTTGCCTTGTTCACGTGCCTGACAACTCGAGCGATACATTTGGAGGTGGCACATAGCTTGTCTTCGATGTCCTGCAAGATGTGCATCCGTAGATTCATTGCTAGAAGAGGTGCCCCATCAGAGATATACTCTGATAACGGCACCAACTTCCGCGGTGCCGCGAATGAGCTACAAGATCAAATCCAGCAGTGCGCCGAAACCTTCACCAATACCACGACCAAATGGTATTTTAATCCTCCAGCCGCACCCCACATGGGTGGGGTGTGGGAACGACTTGTGCGATCGGTCAAGGTCGCTATAGAAACAATGGCCTCCGCACCAAGAGTACCCGACGATGAAACCTTCGAGACAATCATCCTAGAGGCCGAGAGTATGATCAACTCAAGACCTTTGACATACATCTCGCTGGACAACGCTGGCCAAGAAGCGCTGACACCTAATCATTTTCTTTTGGGTAGCTCAAATGGAGTTAAGCAACTGCCTAAGGAACCTACGAAGGCCACCGATTGTCTACGCAGCAGCTGGAACCTGGCACAACACATTCTGGATGGATTTTGGAAAAGATGGTTGCGCGAATACCTTCCAACGATTGCCAGGCGAACCAAATGGTTCCGAGACACTAAACCAATTGAAGTTGGTGACTTGGTTTTCGTTGCCAACGAGAACAAGAGAAATACCTGGATTCGAGGTCAGATCGTCGAGGTTATTCGTGGAAAAGATGGTGTTACCAGACAGGCCCTGGTACGTACGGAAGCGGGAGTCATCCGACGTCCGGCAGTGAAGCTCGCCGTCATCGAGGTAGCTGAAGATGGTAAGGTCGAGGCTAGTGGACAGGACCAAACTCAACCTTACGGGCCGGGGAATGTTGGTACTGCTACGAGCCATCCGCAGTCCCCTTGAACTCGTAACGGACGGACGAGCGAGGAATCTGGTAGCCCTACCGCTGCTTGTCATCGCTACAGCCGTCAGCGCAACTGTCATTCGTTGAAGATTACATGAAATCAAAAGGTGACGATATTTTGTGAAACGTGAATCTCAATTGCATTGTATTCGATAAAACTTTTATATTTTCTTGCTTAAAACTATTAAAATTTGCTTAAACACTAAACGTAAGTTAAATATAGATATTCCTACTTAAAATCTACTTAAAATAATAAATATTTGCAGCTTAAAGCGAGTGAAATCTACGCTAAAAAGGAGTGTTTTTTATTCTAACCTTAGTTGCATCGGCAACAAAACCCTTGCAGTCCCTTCTCTCGTCACCCGACAACATCACATATGATGGGACCGCGAGAGTCAAGGCATGCGAAACAGCGCACGGCGATGGCACCCTGAGAGAGCGCATTGAGATGTTTCAATGAAACAGTCGCATATAATTGAATACATACGTCGCATTGAGAGAGCAATGCGATGATACAAAAAAAATTGAAACGCTCGAATTTGTTAAGAGCGTGTAGCTTGTCGCGCGCATCGTTCTGGTCTCTCTTTTGTACAATTATTGTAGCACACCATGGATTTGAGAGTCATGCGACGCTCTGTCTTACAGCTCGTTGTCGCATTTGTGTACGTGTGAGATTTACAGAAGCCTGCTCAGCACAGAAAACAAGATCGACGGAAAACAAATCAAACAATTTCTTACTAAAATTTTCCTATCACTCATATAAATTCGAGATTTTTTTGCATTTTTCTAGCGTTCTGGACAAAACCATACCCTAATTCGAAGTGTTTATGGTTAATTGACAAGGTCATGTGGTATTGGGTCATTGCGAAAATGTGTATGTACCACTTCAATACTGTTACGCAATTGACCACAAACGTTTAGGTAAATTATTAAAGAGCTTTGGGGGTTGTGTGGCTGGTAGCAAGGCAAGCGAACGTTCAATGAAAATTAACTCTTAAACAACAATAGTTTATGGTGGTCCAGAAAAGAACCGTTTTGTCGTGATGGTTGAGTAATGCTGAGCTAATAGGGTGTTCAACACAGATGACGCTGGTGAGCTGTATATTGTTTGGAACGAGGGTGACAAACTTGGCATAGATGGCCCACAGCGATTCACGAAGAGCTACTGAATCCAATCAGTAGCGGTACGGCTTCCTCTTTCTTCGGTGAATGGACGCTCATGTGGGCTGCCTTGATAGCTAGCTGGTTGTAGGCAGCCTTTTTTGTGTACTGGAGAACAATATTTAACGCCTCGCGCTAAAAGCAATGCTGCTGCTGATGATGATGATGACCACCGACCGGATAACACCACACACGGTGATTGAATAAGCACCGTTCGGTGAGACCGGATGGAATTCAATTTTGAAATCTGTGCTAGGGAAAGTTTTTTTTTTTTTTTTTCATTATAGTCACTTTAACACTCTTGGGTCATTCGTGACTTGTCCGGGGGTGAGATTTGAACTCGTGACTTTGGCGTGAGAGGTATGTATGTTAACCACTACGCCGGGGTCGCCCCCCCGCTAGGGAAAGTGTTTTTTGCAGGCAATCGGTGATAATTTTAATCACCATTGTAACAGTTGGACATTTGTGTAATTTTCAATAGTGACTTGTTGAAAATTGATAAAGTGTTCATTTTAGCAGATTCGTAGAAAAAATTTCAATCGTTGTTTCAAATTAAAACCTGACTACTTTTCGTTAAGCGGTCGATTTTAAATTTTTGAAATTGCTCCCCCAATATGTTGGCGAAAGACTTAATGCTACGTCAACATGAATAAATGCGATGCCTTTCGAAAACTGGTACACTTACCCTGCATGCGATAGTCTCAAAACACGGCAGATCAATATTCCTCAGGGATTTCCTTGTTTAGCTTATTTTTCTTCATTCAAGAAAAGCGCTCAAAAGTGACCAATCAAACACATTATGTAAATTAAATGATCCTCCGTACCATATAAAACTTTGTTGCTTCCTGACTTCCTTCAGACACCATAGGGGATTAGTGCAGCATTTACTACGTACAGGGAGCCGTCTACCTTTATAAGCACAACTTTTCTCCGGAACGTCATGCACAGTGGAAGCAATAATTTATGGGTTGCTACAATTTTATTGTTTTTCCTTATCTCGCCTACTTTGCGATTACATCCTACAGGGCACACTTTGAATCTGGAATTCATTGATAGGTGTGTTTTTCTTCTTCTTCTTCTTGAAAACATCAAGTGTTCTTCAGGTTTACGCTTTAATAACTCTTTTGCATGTAGTGAAGCCGATTTGTGCGCTGTTCGCGTTCCGTTGAGGAAATTGATTGTCAATTTATATCGCGAAACAACAACAAAAACATGAAGCATTCCAGTTTGAACTTTGCACAATTTTTTGTCTACAGGCCAGAAGCGGACGATTGGTTTCGTTTAGCTGCAATCTGACGGATGCTGATGCAGGAAAATGTGAAATAATAGAACTGCATCTACTTTCTGAAACTGGTCATGCGGTCTAGCATTGATTACGATCAGTTATCCGGAAAGAGTGAACTGGTCCCGGAGATGGCTCCGATGATGGAAAACAGGTTACAGAATAGAATAACTTGTTAATTGTCAACGGAAAGAAGGCTGGCGACACGATGCGATGATTTTTGCCTGGGAGTTGGTGACTGGTCTCTCGTTACGTGATTGGCTTTTATCGAGATTGCAGAAAATGGACCAAGCAGCTGTTGGTAGGGGTAATGTAAACATCATCAGATGGATTATAATGGTAGCGCAGTGACTTCGTAAGACATCTGCCCAGCCCAGATAAATAAAGATGCATGCGGCTGGGTGATATTTGGCTTGAAGGCTGCCACTGACTGTACTGGTGACACGTTGATTGCTATCTAGGAATGTGGCAACCAAGAATCTATTTCAGGAAGTTTGTTTGCTTGGCACTGAAAATTGCAGTTGTATGTAGTGTATGAATACGTTTGGATACTTTCCTGCAGTTGTAAGTAACACGTTTCATTTTAATCATATAGATAGTCATATATTCTGCATGCTTCTTTTTAAATATGCGACATACATTCAGGCTGCACTGTTTTTTTTTTATTGAAATTTAAGAGTTAACCAGTTTAATTTAAAAAATTCGAAATCGTTAATACTAAAAATCAATTGTCAATTGGATTGGAAGTCTTATTGTGTTTCTAACCAGAACATTAGTTTATCTTAATATAATACGTTGAAGGGTAAAAACCCCTTAAAAATCATTGATGCTTTGGTGCAATTGACCGACATATTGAATGAAGAATTGTTGGAGTGCTCTTACTTTTACAGTAATGACACTCCTTCAGGTTTGAGAGGAAAGCAGATACTCTCGTCAGGTGTTTTTAACATTCTTGAAAGTGATCACCAAATACGAATGGATGAACGGTTTTCTTGCATTGTTCACCCGGAGTGAGGCTATTCAAAGTCATGCCGAATGTACACCACGATTAGAAACTCGCAGACGAGATGGAACAAAAAAAATACCATCTGCTGAACCTGATGTATTAATTAACCCAAGAGCAGTAAAGACCATACAGCCACAGAAGAGAGCAAATAGGAACAACGTAACGAGTCAAGATTCAAGAAACCTTTCCTTCGGCCACTTGAACATATTGTGAAACAGGTATCTAACACATCTATATGGTACAATCGCCTGTTCCCTGAGGCGAGGATTATCTTCAATAGCCGCTGACAGTAAGCGCCCTATCTGCGGGGATGCATTTATGCCTTTCTTCATTCTCAGATCAGAATGATGAACAATAAATTCCACGATTACGGTGGCAGTAAACTAGCAAATTCTTAGACCATATGATCCTCCCGAATGCCACTTAGACCGGATGCAAATTACAATGCACCTCATAGTGCATAAAATTGTACGACACTATTAACATTTTTATGAGTACAAATGAACTACTCCTACTTCTTTACGGCTATTGCGCGGCATTCGAATGATTCGGCATCGCAAGCCCACAGTCAAGCCAGTATAGGCGATATTTTAGCATCTTATCGATCTCACTGAGGCGGCATTACCGGTTGCTTTCTATTTAAACTTAAGTAGGTAATTGTTATTATCCCAAGCCGATCGTTTGCAGATCTTTTAGCGCGTTAGGGTCAGTATGGTCAAAATGCTACCACTCTTCTTAGCAGCGGTGGACATGTAGCATCATCACTCTGTATTTTCCGGTTGTAGCCAATAGCTTAACAGGGATAATTGATCTGAAAAGGGCTCCCACTGACTGTTATTCCGATATTCCACAAAACTGATTGAAACGGTTTTGTCCGCGCAGTGTGTGCGTTGTTGATTCGCTTGGACTAGGAGGGGTACTAGGCCAGACCATGATGTACAGCCAAAGTGGATAATTTCATGGTAGCGCAACAATCTGACGCCGCTGTAGCATTAATCTGCTTCTGCTGCTGTATGGATTCTATCGCAGCAACCGCGAGTGGCAGCTAACTGTTCACGTCTTGCGTTCCGTCTATCCGGCTTAGACCGTGTCAGAGTGAAGACATGTAATAAGCTATCAGAGAATAATCATTACTCAATTATCATAAATCACTCAATTTATTGTTTAATTTTGCCGTGTGCCAGCTGGAAGTAAAATTTCTCTCCTCTGAAGAGTGACTACCTGTATGATACGTCTATTAGGTTTGAGATCTATTTTTGTGCTGTTTCTCACGAAGAGATGTTAAATGTGGAATAGTTACATCGCTCATCCATATTGAAAACCAAATCGATCATTGGATATACTGATAATGTAAAATTTGTATGTATAGAGGTCACATAAACGGTCAAAATAAATTTTATGGACTTTTAAACGATTTTTGCCTTTCTTGTTGTACACAAAGGTGCAGGGTTACTTCTGACATCAGAGAGAAGTGGAACGCTTTCAAGCGCTTTCTACCACCACTGTGTGAGAAATTTAACTTCAAGATATGAAAATTAATGACATTCGCT